GCAAAATCTCCACAATGTTGGATTTGGCAGTGATTTTTTGGATATGACATTAAAGACACAGGCAACAAAGAGAAATAGACAAATTGGATTTCATAAAAATTTTGTGGCCGGGCGTGGTGGCTCAAGCCTGTAATCCCAGCACTTTGGGAGGCTGAGGCGGGTGGATCACAAGGTCAGAGATCAAGACCATCCTGGTCAACATGGTGAAACCCCGTCTCTACTAAAAATACAAAAAATTAGCTGGGCATGGTGGTGTGTGCCTGTAATCCCAGCTACTCAGGAGGCTGAGGCAGGAGAATTGCCTGAACCCAGGAGGCAGAGGCTGTGGTGAGCCAAGATCGCGCCATTGCACTCCAGCCTGGGTAACAAGAGTGAAACTCCGTCTCAAAAAAAAAAAAAAAATTTGTGCATCAAAACGCAAAATCAGGCCTGTGTGGTGTCTCAAGCCTGTAATCCCAGTACTTTGGGAGGCCATGGTGGGCAGATCATTTGAGGTCAGGAGTTTGAGGCCCTCCTGGCCAACGTGGTGAAACCCCATATCTACTAAAAATACAAAAATTGGCCAGGCCTGGTGGTGCATGCCTGTAGGTCCAGCTACTTGGGATGCTGAGGTGGGACAATCGCTTGAACCTGGGAGGCAGAGGTTGCAGTGAGCCAGTATTACAACACTGTACTCCAGCCTGGGCGACAGAGCAAGACTGTGTCTCGGGGAAAAAAAAAAACAAACAAACTAAACTAAACTAAAAAACAAAACAAAAAGGCAAAATTAACAGAGTAAAAAGTCAACCAATGCAATGGAAGAAAATGTTTGAAAATCATATATTTGATAAGAGATTAATATCCAGAATACAGAGAGAACTCCTAATGCTCAACAACCAAAACACTAAACAACAATTAAAAAATGGACGAAGGACTTGACTAGATCTTTCTCCAAAACACACATGAAAAGATGTTTATATCACTAATCATTAGGGAAATGTAAATGAAAACCACAGTGAGACAGCAGCTCATACTCATTAGGATGGCTACTATCAAAAACAAGTGCTGGCAGTGAGGATGTGAAGCAGTTGCAAAGCTGTGCGCTGTTCGGCAGATGTAAAACGGTACAGATACCGTGGAAAATATTATTACGATGCTTACCCAAAAATAGAATTACCATATAATACAGCAATTCCACTTCTGGGTATATACCCAAAAGAACTTAAAATAGGATCTTGAAAAGATATTTGTGTACCCATGTTCATAGCAGCATTATTCATAATTGCTAAAATGTGGACACGGCCCAATTATTTATCGACAAATGAGTGGATAAACAAAATGTGGCATACATACGATAGAATGTATTTTAAGAATTATTCAGCCTTAAAAAGCAAGGAAATTGGCTGGGTGCTGTGGCTCACACCTGTAATCCCAGCACTTTGGGAAGTCGAGGCGGGTGGATCATGAGGTCAGGAGACCATCCTGGTCAACATGGTGAAACCCCATCTCTACTAAAAATACAAAAATTAGCTGAGTGTGGTGGCGCACACCCGTAGTCCCAGCTACTTGGGAGGCTGAGGCAGGAGAATTGCTTGAACCTGAGAGGCGGAGGTTGCGGTGAGCGGAGATCGTGCCATTGCATTCCAGCCTGGGCAACAAGATCGAAAACCTCCATGTAAAAAAAAAAAAAAAAAAGAAGGAAGGAAATTCTGACATATACTACAACATAGATGAATCTTCTTGAGGACATTCTGCTAAATGAAATAATCCAGTTGCAAAAAGAAAATACTGTATGATTCCACTTATATGAGGTATTAGAGAGGGGGTCATGATTTAATGGGTATAGAGTTTCAGTTTTCCAAGCTGAAAAGGGTTCTGGAGGTGGATGGTGGTGATGGTTTCTCGTCGTTAGTGTATTTAATACCACTGAACTGTTCACTTTAAAAGGATTAAGATGATAAATTTTATTTTATGTGCATTTTATAACAATACAAATTAGAAAAAAATTGTCATAAAACTAAGATATTATTAAGAACAATCAGAATTATTTCAGTCTTGTTTACAATCACCATATGAAAAACAAATCGTTTACCTAGCATGACAGCAGCTATGGGTTGAATTGTTCCCCTCAAAAGATGCTGAACTTCTAACCCTTGGTACCTGTGAATGTGAGTTTATTTGGAAATTGGGTCTGTGGAGACGATCAAGTTAAGTGAGGTAATTAGGGTGTGCCCTAATCCAATAATGACTGTGTCCTTATGAAAAGGGGAAAAGAGACAGACAGGTATAGAGAGAACATGTGAATTCACAGGGAGCACACATGGCAATCCCTAAGCCAAGGAATGCATGGGGTTTCCAGAAGCTAAGATACAGACATGAAACAGACTGCCCCCCACATCCCTCAGAAGGGGCCAGCCCTGCCGACACTTTGATCTTGGACTTCCAGCCTCCAGAGCTGTGAAACAACACATTATGTTGTTTAAGCTGCGCAGTTGGAGGTGCTTGTTACAGTCGTCCAAGGAAATTATACAACATCTTACCTGAATTTGCTTTCTTCTTCGATGTAGTTAATTAAATTCAAAACTATGTATTGAATAATGACGGTATGCTCTCTCTCCATGTAGCTTCAGAGCGGGTAGGGAGTCCATCTCCTGAAGGAACAGGAAGGACACAAGAGAAAGGACCAACTTGCATCTCATCGGAGAGAGATACATTTCTGGAATAAGAGGTCTGTGGTTAAGTGTGTTTCTCTAGTAGTTCAGAGACAAAGGAAGCACCTGCAGGCTAAGATGCTGAGAAGGTGAGGGCTGACCTAAGTTCTGAAGGATGGATGGGTTATGGGTTGGAGGGGAAGATGGAAAAGCCACAGGGGAGAGGAGCAGCATGGGCCGAGTGTGGAGGAACCAGTGAGTGGGCTGGGTTTCAGGAAGGGGCCTCGGTCTGCTTTTGAGCCCTGCCTGAACTTTTCCACTCTGCCCTGCCTCCTGCCTGTGTCTGCCATTCTCCTCCCATCCTGCGGTGCTGTGCCTATGTGGACAGCCTTTGCCCCTTTATCCCGTGCTTGGGAGAAATGTGATGTTTCTGTGGCAGGGATGTTGCTATGTGTTTATCAAATCGGCTTCATTTTCTTCTGGAACATTCAGGAAGACCACAGCTCCCAGAGCCCCCTGCATCCTGGTGCGGCTGTGCGACCACTTCCGGCCCATGGATGTGGGTGGAAGTGATGTGTGTTGCCCCAGGCCGGGTTCCGGGACCCCACCTAGTGCTGTCTCTTATCCTGTTGGAGGTAGGAGAACCAGTAGCGGCCTTGGAAGCCCTAAAGACGCCTGGGGAATCCCAGGGTGGAGGAGGCCAGTTCCCTGCCTGGTGGAGGCTTCTGCTGTCAGGGTGAACTGCAGCCTGAGTGAGAATTTGGGTCTTACTTGTGACCACAGCATGACCGATCCTGCTCTGGCTGACAGTCACTGCTGCAAGTCACCCTGCTGATGGGTCTGGGCCTTGGCCTCTAATTGAGGTTTTCTCACCTGTAACCCCACTCGCCCTTTGCCTGGACACTTCACGGGGAGCTAGAGTGGCCTTGGCCATTGGCCTTGCTAAGGAGGAGGCAAGGCACCCGCAGGTACCGGGCCGTCTGCATCAGTCGGTGCAGGCGGGTCCACCGCCCACCAGCATGACTTCATGTCATCCTCACTGCAGGGCCCACCTGGAGGGGAACTTCCTCGAGGTCTAGCTTTGCCTTTCCGCCTTCAGAGCCAAGTAAGGAGGGGTCTGGACCCAGCCACTTTCCCAGCAAGGCCCTGCTATTGCACGTTGCTCTGGAGGCCTCTGTAGCAGGAGTTCACTGTTTTCCGTGGAGGAGAAGTGGAAGGAGGGATTGAGCTCTCCCCTAGAGACGCTAGAAAGACAGTTTTGTCTCAGCCTCACACGATCGCCCAGCTCCATATTTCTAGCTGTTTCTGTGGTTACCTTTTTTCGGGGATGTTTGGGGCGGGAGGTGTGTGTGTGTGTGTATATATATTTGCTTTTCTGAAGCCATTTTTCCGGAGCCCCTGATGGTGGAGGGCAGTGCTCTGGGAAGCGGGGTCCCTGGTTCCACTCCCGGCAGGTGCAGGGGATGGAGGATGCCCCCCTCCCCGAGAGCCAGGAGATGCCAGTTCGGCGCCTCTCCTGCGTGGAGCCCGAAGACCACAGATGTTAGGAAGGAGGAGCTCAGGAAACACGCCCCTGCTCCCTTACGTGGTTAGGTGGGGAAACCGAGGCTGAGGAGGCCCAAGGGACTCGCCTAAGCGGCCTGGGGAGTCACCGGAGGTAACCAGGGCTGGAGCCAGGCCTCCCACTTCAGGCCTGAGCGGGCGCGGGAAGGGGTGCGAGCTGCACGCAGGGCTGGGGACGGGGCCGGGGCAACTCATCTCTTCCCCTTCCTAGGCCGCCCGGGCCACTTCCTGCGGGGTGGGGGCGGGGGGCGCGGGCGCGGGCGCCGGGCACCGGCGCAGGGCTGGCCCCTCCCGGGCGCCGCCTCTAGGCCTCTCCTACACCCGCAGGCCAGAGGCCAAGGGTTAGGGGAGCGGAACCGGTGCCCAGCTCCACCCCTGTCCCAAAAGCCACTGGGGGCTGGGACCGAGCAGGGCCTAGGCTGGGCCGCGAGGGCCGAAGAGCTGCGAGGGGCAGGAGCGGCGAGGGCCCAGCGGGCGATGAAGGTCCGGCAGGGGGCGTGTCGTGTAGGGGGCGGGGCATGGAGGGGCGGGGCCGGGTCTGGAAGGGGCGGGGCGGCAGAAAACTTGAGCGCCCGCCTCCGGCCGCGCGCCCCGCCCCGTCCCCCGCCTCTGGGTCCCGCCTTCGCTTCCCTTCCTTCCCGGAGCTGGCAGGCGGGCCGCGGCGGCGGCGGCGGCGGCGGCGGCGGCTGGCGGCGGACGGGTGGACTGGCGGACTGGCGGGCGCCGCCACCTTGCACCTTCCCTGGCTGCCGGCTTCCTTTTGTCTTTCTGGGCGGCGATGAGCGCGGGGCAGGCGCGGCAGCTGCGGACGCACCGAGGCCCGCGCTCCTAGTCACTCCTCCCGGCCTCGGCACGCTTGTCCCGGGGAGCGGCCCGCGTACGCTGCAGCCGCCGCCGGCGCGGAACTTGGGCTTGGGAAGCCGGCGGACCGCGTCCTGCGCCGGAGCAGGTAGGGAAGGGCGGGCTGCGGGCGTGTGCACCGGCGAGCGCGGCGAATCCGGCTCTTGGCGTGTGTGTTTGTGCGCGCGCGTGTGTGTCCGGGGGTGCCCGCGTTTCTCTGCGCGGTGGAGTTGTGGGTGACCGCGGACGGTGGTGTGTCTTTCGAATGGCGCGTACTCGTGGGGATATGTGTGCGCCTTCGGTGTGTACATTTTGGACTGCGTTTGTGGAATCGTGTGTCGGGACGCGGTTGCTGGTGGGGAGCGGTGCCTGGAGGGTGTCGTGTGTGGGCAGCTGTGCGTGGAGCGGGGTGGCGGGGTGGGCGTGGGCGGTCCGGTCCCTGTCCCCTGTGGGGTCCCCTGGGCGGTCCCGTCCCAGAGCCCCCTGCCCCTGTCGGTCGGCGCAGTGCGTAGCTTAGGAGTCTCCCGGACGGCAGGAACCCGACGGGGCAAGCGCGAGCCTCTCGGGAAGGCTGGGCCGGACCCTCGGGGACTGGTCGGCGCCGCCCACGTGGGTCGCCGGTGAGCTTCTGCCAAGGGTGGGGGCCCACGCGGAGGCGATCCGCAGGTTCCTCTCAGGGCCGTGGGGCGACGAGTAGAGCCCTGGCCTTCCCATGACCCGCACTGCGACCTGGGCCAGACGCGCCACATTCCCGGGTCTCCGCTTGCTTCTCTTTCAAATGAGGACAGCTCCTCCCTCGGGGGCTGTGGTGACAGGTGAAATGAGAACGCACTGAAGACAGCTCTTGGCTCGATTCCCCGCACCCAGTAGGTGCTGTGTTAATTGGATTAGCGTCTGCTGTTTAAAATCTTTTTTTTTCCTTTATCGTGCCTGGGGCCTTACATTTCCCCCGGGCATGTTTCCTGCCTCTCTCTGGCCCTAACTTAACGGCGAAACACCGAGATTCCAGAAAGTTTAGCTCTCAGCTGCGCTGCCTCCTGCCGCACCTCCCGGGCGCTGCCGCCTCCGCCAGTGCCCGAGAGCACAGCGTGGGGCCCACCCTGCCCCAGCCCCCGGGCTCCGGCGCCGGCGTGGGGGTCCCTCTCCTGGCCGGGAGGCAGCGAATGCGGAGTCGAGAGCCCTTTCGCTCAACAAGTGCCTAATCCCGGAGGATGCGGCTCAGCCCATGGAGTTCGAGAGCCAGGGCGTGAAATTGGTGCTTCCCGCACACGCAGAGCTCTGGCTCCCGAGGTATCCCGGTCGGGCCTGGTCACGCCAAAGGCCACCCCTTTCCTCCCGGCTGACCCCAATTCCACCAGAGGAAGATGTTTGCCAGGTCGCCGAGTCCAGCCGAGGGTCTCGGCATTAGATACCCCCCAGCCCCAGCCCCAGCCCCTGCCACCCCTGCTCCCTTGCAGCCAGCCTCATGCCCGGGGGCCACATGGGACCCCTCCTCCTAGTCTCACACCTTAATTTAAAACACATTTACTTTTGAAACCTACTACTCATAAAATTGAACCGCAGTGAATGTGCACCCAGCTCTGACCACGACTCAGTCTCTGGAGAGTCCTGGCGCCTCAGATGCAGAAGGCCAGCTCTGTGGTTCAGGTGCCCTCGCCAGAGCGAGCGATATTCCTTCCCTTCATCGCCTTGGTGTCTTCCTCTTGGGGTAGGGGGTGGTGGTGGGGAATCGCCTTTACCCAAGGGAGCCACAGATCTCACCGATGCCGGAGGCTCTCAAAATGGAGCACCGGCATGAGATGGGCTGCGGAGGAGGCGGCATGGGCGGCCTTTGGTATAGGTTGCGGTTCCCAAGTGTCAGGTGCTACGCGGTGGTGTTCCCAGAGAGGCGGACTGCTTTGCCTGTTTTTAGGAGTCAGGAACAGAAACCTGGTCTGGTTCCTTTGGTTTTCCTCTGCCGGGACTGAAGCCCTGCAATCCCAGCCGTGGCGGGCCAGGGGGAGGTGATGAGCTCATTTTTCATCCTGACTTGGTGACAGGGCAGACTTAGAATGGACCCTGTTTTCTGTTTCATCGAATGATTTTGTATTCTACAGGAGAAAAGGGCTCGTAATCAGATTCCACAGTAATATTTTTAAAAATCAGCCTGGCTTTATCAGCTCAAAAGACAGACCAAAACGCAGGGTTTTTTGGTTTGTTTTGTTTTTTTTTCTAGTTAAAGCCAGCCCTTTGTCTCGAGCAGCCAGTGTTTTGGCCTTAGATCTATTTGTGTTTCACTTTTGAGAGCGCCTGTAATTACTGAGCTCTTGAGGTTTTATCGGATAATGTGGCAAAGGGAAGGCCCGGGGCCCTGCCTCTCCCTTGTGGTGGGATGTGGTGCCACGTCCTAGCCTTGCCTGCTCCCTCTGCGTTCCACTTTGATGCTGTTTTTAAGGTGGAACACACATGTCAATGTGTGATAACAATTTGGGAGACTTTGTCTTTGGAATCCAATAAATGGAAGGTCATTTGACCTGTGGAGAAACCAAAACAAGTCAAAACCCCAGAAGAACAGAGATTTGCCCATACTCCAGCCAATGGCCCATTTATTTCCAGCAAGCCCTCCTAGAGATAGATTCTAAGTGAAATACACAACTTGGACACATGGCTTCAGAAGGTATCTCCGCCCCCTTTCTTGCCACAGGGCTGTGCAGAATTAGAAGTGCAGTCTATGGAAAGACGTGGACTGAACTCCGGTTGGTGCACATGCCCCAGCCTGGGCCCCATACTCAGCACCGTTTCAACCTGGAGCTGTTTCCTTCTGTGAAGCACTGGGGCTCACACCCACACCTTCAGGGCTCTGTGAGCACAGTGCCAAGGACTGCAGCGTGCAGACAGTGCGTGCCTGGTGATTGTGCATCTGGGCACCTGTCTCCCTATGACACTTATTCTAAGACCCTTTTTGCTACTTGTAAGTGGTAGAGTACCATGCCCACTCATGAACCAGTGATAATCCAGGGTACTAAAAGGGGGCTCCAGAGTTTAGTTGGCACTAAAGATTAAGCTACTTGGCAGCTGAATTTTAATCTAGATTGGGGTTAGGTTTGTATTAAAATTTTGCATTCCAGCAAGCCCTAAACCGTGCCTGTTCATTACGGGATAATGCACTCAATTGATGAGTTGCCAGCCTAGGATTGATGGAGGATTATGTGTATTCTGCTAGTTTGTCAGCGTCTGATGTCATTGTGCTTCGGAAGGGGCTGGGGGAGGCACGTTTGGAGTTAGGATGACACACACTTGTAGATTTTAATCATGCTGTACTTTGGGACTCCCTGTTCTCCCACGGTAGCAGTGGGTTTCTATGCTGTTCTCATGTCCTCACGTAAAGCTGCACATCTGTGAATGTCACGTAGCTCTTGTCCTTTTCCCCTTACATTTTCTAATCCGGGAATGACAGAGGGTGGCTGTATATGGAGATGGCAGCATGGGCTTAGGGGCTCTCTTGGTGCCAGTTGCCCTACGGAAAACAAGTTTCTTCAAATCACTTTCTACAAAGAAAAAAGAAATGGTCAGAATCTAGTGGCGCAGACTGTAATCTAACTCCAGGTCATCAATACGATTTGACAGGTGGAACATTTCTTAGTGCTGATGAGCATGATGCAAGTCTCAAGATTTTTTTTTTTATCATCTGAAAAGCACAGTAAATCCTTTAGAGAGCCCTACCTTGGCCAAGTCGTTTCAAGTAAAATTGAATTTCAGAGGCAAAGCTTCACATCTCTGCATTGATGAGGCATGACTAACTAAAGACATCCTTCCCAGAGACCTCTACACTCACCTTCCTCTGCCAGCAGCAGGGCAGGAAAGATGACTTCTCGGGGCTGTGTGCCTTTACCTTCATAAGCAAGTGCACACTGAATGCTTGCTGATCCTGCAGCTGGGTTTTCTGGGTATTTGTATCATTTTGGTGCTTGAGATACTAACCAAGTTGGCAGGAAGCCAGGAGCCTGGGGATGGAGGTGCTTTCCTTGCTCTGTGTCCCCTTAGGCAAGTGAGGTCTGCCTCAGACAGGCACGATATTAAGTGCATCTCTAGAGGACGGTTCCTTCCACTTGCCCAGGTGCACTGGCCGCCCTCACCTGTGCTCATGTCTGTGCATTGGCAGGTGATATAGATACACCTGAGCTGGAGACCCAATACTGGGTGTGGGCTCTGAGCTACCCCATATCAAAGCAGAGCCCAGGACTCTTCTCCCTTGCTGAGGCTGTGTCTCCTACCTATTATGGCCAACATGTCTCATCTGCTCATTGGTTAAAGCTAGAAATCTCAAAAGAGTTTCATAGCTCTTTTAATCGGGTCAGCGCTCTCTGAGGTCTCACACCCACTCTTCCTGCACAACAGAGCCTTATCTGCCCTTGGCCCAGAGCACGCCTCCAGTTCCTTCACTTCAGCCCTGCTAGCAGCACTTCACTGTTTAAAACACAGATTTCAGTCCGGCTCAGTGGCTCATGTCTGTAATTCCAACACTTGGGAGGCCAAGGCGGGCAGATCATAAGGTCAGGAGTTCAAGACCAGCCTGGCCAACACAGTGAAACCCCATCTCTACTAAAAATAAAAAAATTAGCTGGGTGTGGTGGCAGGCACCTCTAATCCCGGCTACTTGGTAGGCTGAGGCAGGAGAATCGCTTCGACCCGGGAGGGGGAGGTTGCAGTGAGCCGAGATTGTGCCATTGCATTCCAGCCTGGGTGACAGAGCTAGACTCCGTCTCAGAAAAAAAACAAAACAAAAAAACAACCCACAGATTTTATCATCCCACTCTCTTCTGCCTCCCCAGCCCCGCCAAGGTTTGTTCTCTTACTCAGTAAGTGCTTCTGATACCTGCTGTGTGCCTTGTGCCAAGCTGGGTTCTGAGAAGGTTGGACCCAGGCATCCTCCCTACCTTTGCAGACTTTAAGGTCTTGGGCTGGGGGTTGTGTGTGGGGGACCCATCAAATAAGTCCAAGGGCCTTGAAGTGCTATGGAGGGGAGCTCCTACCCCGGGTTAGGGGGCTCCCTGGAGAAACACCCTCTAAGCTGACATGTGGGCGTGTTGGGGGGCAGGGTAGGGGCTAGAGGTGGGGCTGGATTGTTTG